TTGTTATTGTTATTGTTGTTGTTATTGCTGCTGGTTTGAAACAGTCTTCATGAACTTCATGAAACTGAAAATTTGAAGCGCAGAAAAATTAAATTTAAACACAGTCAAAAATTTATGAATATGTACACTACAAAGTCGTAAAAAAGTATAATAACAAAAATCATAAACAATTACAACTTCTGCTATGTAGAAAACCATGCAAAGAAAGGCAGAAAAATTTATTGTTGTTGGAAAATTTATTTTTGTTATTGTTATTATTGTTTTTATTGCTGTTGGTTTGAAACAATCTGCTGTTATTGTTGTTGTTATCGTTGTTACTGTTGTTAATGTTGCTATTGTTGCTATTGTTACTATTGTTGCTATTGTTGTTGTCATTGTTGTTGTTGTCATTGTCATTGTTGTTGTTATTGTTGCTACTACTGTTATTGCTATTGTTATTGTTGTTGTCATTGTCGTTGTCGTCGTTGTCATTGTTGTTGTTGTTTCTATTTTTATTGTTGTTATTGTTGCTATTGTTGCTGTCGGTGTTATTGTTATTATTGTTATTGTTGTTGTAGAGCAATTGTAATTGTTTCTTGGAAATGTTATCTGTATTCATTGGAACCGTGCAAAACATCACATGCAAATTAAAATTCAATCGCTTCAAAATAACTTCCAAATTTGTCAAATCTATGCTTATGACTTTTCCGCTTTCTATCTCTTCAAGTTATAGGGAATAGTAAAATTTGTTAATGCTATCAGGCAAACTTTTTTTTCTATTTTCACATATCATTATATGTTAAGGAAAGGAAAACAAGTCCTTTTCCTTTTTTTTGTTTTTCTCAAATACAATTTGCAAAATTTGTGGAAATTCATCATGTTCTCAAACGTAGAATGTAGGAATTTCTTTAAAAATAATATTTAATGAGAAAAAAAAGTGGAATTTAATTTGCCCTATAAAATTTGAAATTGATAAATAGGATGATTGGAATGAAAAGAAAACGTCAACATCAAAAGATTCAATTAGTGAAGTAGTTTTGTTTAGTTCGAGTTGAAATTAACTTAAAATTAGTTTAATATATGACAGACAAATGTTAAAAAATGAAAGATAAAGAATAATTTCCGAATGAAATATATACGTAATCCGTGAAAGCTACACGTAAATACATGATGACGTATTAAAGTTGCATTAGATTACCTAACGGTAGCCTAATATATCCATTAATAAAATTATTTGCAACATTATTGGTAGCTTAATTATTAGCATTATGAGTAACATTTTGAAGTGGAATAATTGGATAATTGCTGGGATATTATCAGTGTTATGTGATGCAATAAAATTAACATGTTTTGCATGTGTAGCATAAATGACAACGAAATGGCATAATGTGAATCGATCTAATGTAATTAGAATAGTCTGGTATTTTTAGAGCTAACATTTCTGGTACCTAATATATTCGATTATCGAAATCCCGAAATATTAAACAATTCAGGTGGTAGAACTAATGAAATAAATTGATATCAGTAGTCTAATATAACCGTGAAAATTCACTTCATTGCCATATAAGTTTGTATTCAACATGGTTTATTGCCTCAAGCGTGGGATCCATTATAATCCTGTAACGTCAGTGTCGTTGCGCACAGTCGTATCCGTGTAATCATTAGCCATATATAACGGAATGTATGATATCTGATAAGCTAACTTAGATTTAACTTCTGACCTAATTATTATGCAATTTACCTTTATCGTTATATCGTTATGTGATCGGATGATAATTGCAAAAGATATATTTTGTCATTAAATACGTCAATAATTTTTGCAAGACCAACTAAATGCATGTGCGTTTTTGCAAAATTAAATAAATGTCATTCATTTGCTTTTTTTAATGCTATTTTTATGTCATGCAAAGCGAAAATTAGCTATTAACAAAAGAAAATAGAAATAGAAGACGTACAGGATGATTTAAGACAATTCGTCGAAACAGAAAAAAAAAGAAATAAAAATTAAAAAATTGCTGCCATCAGAGATATTTGACTTATTTTCTTCTTCTTGTCTTTTTTTGCAATTGATAAAAACAAAAATACAGTAAAATATTTTTAAACTTTCCTACTAATATGTCACAGTCATTTCTTTTTATCATAGAATTATCAGAAATATCCAATATTCGATCCAATTTTGATAACGCATGTTCACGGAAACATCAGTAATCATTATCATTATATCAGCAGCATTAGCATTATACCATGAGAATTCAAATAGATAAATACTAAATGAAATACTTTAACACCGTTATTTAGATGTTTGTTTTCGTCTGTTTCATTTTAAAATAATTTGTTAAAATTGAAATATAATGACCTGAAATCTCAACGAATTTATATAAATTAATGTTTCAAAATAAAAAGAAAAATTAAACTTTAATAGAATTATTAGCTTTTATTGTCTTCATGAAATATAACAATGTCATAATAATTAATCAATCTACACGTAAAAAAAAAAACCTTGTCAAGCTTTAAATTTATGACGAAAATATTGCAATGTTTTCAACTTTTTTTCACAAACAATAATAAATATTTTTTGATCAACAGCTTTCAAATAATGTTTCAATTTTCCACGTTAATTATATATCGAAATTAATAGATAGACGAAAGATTAATAAAAAAATATCGAAAATTTAATCAAAAATATAAAAGACTAGATAAAGTGATAAAGCATTTATGTGGAATGTCCCATTGAAAAAATAAACTAATATACTGTAATCGATGAAAAGCTTTAATAAAATGCATCAAAAAAAAAAGAAATGAAATAATATAAAATAAGTCCGAAATGCCATCCAAAGTGTTTAATTATCCAAAAACATAATAAATCTCGACAAGTTAACAATATAATCTAGTTTTGCTGGCTCTTTGCAATATATTAACTTGAAAAAATTTTCTAAATTTTCTTTTCTCTTACTTAATTTTATTTTCTCCTAATTTTCTCTCACTCAATTTTACGTCCTTTTTGCAATATCAGTAGTCATTTCCTAATCATCAAAAGTTGCCGGAATATACGTAATTACAGATTCCCTCACTTCAACCATTCATGAAACCTGTCCAGGCATTTTCGAAGTAGTGTTCAAAGAATTTCAGAAAATTCACATTCCTATCCACCCACGAAACATTTCTTAACTGCTCTCCATTTATCACAAAGCACTAATTACAACAATAGAGCTGCCATGAATGGCAATTAATGATCTTTCGGATAAGTCGTAAGATGCGTTGTTTTTTTGCTTCACTCATCTTTTTTTGCCTATTATAATTTATACTATGGAAACGTACTTCGCCGTCAAAGGTCTAAACAATTGCAAAATGCATTAAATAATTAAAAGCTTTTTTACGATAAGACCAATTTCCCATTTAGTGATATTTGCTAAAAGACATGAATGACATTAATAGTTTCTCGAATAAATCATAAGATGCGTTGTTTACATCTATGATCTTGCTTTACTCAGCTCTTTTTACATAGCATTCAGACTTTCCTGGCATATGAAGTCTGAAGTCCTGTACTTTTTTCGAATGTGTTCAGTGTCTTTGTGGAAAAAAAAAATTGATCTTATAAAACATCAAAAGAAATATTTTTTTACCGTTAAAATATTTTGCGCTAGAATTAATTGGTTAAATCTACAACTGTGAACACAAAAAATGTTATTGCAGTGTAGAATATCGGAACGAATTTAAAAGGCAATTCAGGAAACTTCTATGCTTAGAGAATGTAGTACCGTTGGAACCAAAACCTACAATAAAGTGGGTGACGACAGTTCACAGGTAAAACATCAGGAAAATTGCTGTTGTTGTTGCTGTTATTTTTATTGTTGCTATTGCTGCTGTTGTTGCTTTTATTTTTATTGTTGCTATTGTTACTGTTGTTATTGTTATTGTTGTTGTTATTGCTGTTGGTTTGAAACAGTCTTCATGAACTTCATGAAACTGAAAATTTGAAGCGCAGAAAAATTAAATTTAAACACAGTCAAAAATTTATGAATATGTACACTACAAAGTCGTAAAAAAAAGTATAATAACAAAAATCATAAACAATTACAACTTCTGCTATGTAGAAAACCATGCAAGGTAAGGCAGAAAAAACACCACAAAAGTTTTTTTTGTGGTGATTAATGCTAAGAGGGAGGTGCATATTTTGTCATTAAACCGTTTTAAACAGCAAATATCACCTTTTCGTCAGATGTTACGGTTTTAATATGGATTAAAATTATGATAAAAAATATTTTAAAGAAAAAAGTATTAGAA